CACCTGTCCTTCGATGTAGCTTGTGTATTTTCAAAGCATTTTTATTTTTTCTTCAAACATCTGTGCAACAATTAATGTATTACTTATTCATGTTTTTTATTTCTTTTTTGTTTGTTTGTTCTTCAAAGCATGATTGTGCTGCAGCCTTATACTACAGAATTGTAATCCAATTGCTCTGCTGTATTGTTTTTCTCATCTTGTATTTTCCTGATCGTTGTAAGTCTTCAGAGCATCTAGTCAGTCATCCTTAGCCATCTTCCAACAAAACTGCAAAAACTCTACCCCTTTTCGGAGACAATTTCCATCTGTACATGAAGCGATCTTTTGGTTTATGATGAGCAATTCAGAATGTAAGTAGGTATGCAAAAAGTGAGTGTTGATTGAGTGCATGTTTGTGAGTGTGGAAAGAAATGAAGTTTTTGTAGATAATGAGAGAGGAATGTGTGAGTCTTATGAAGAATGCTATATGAACTTTATTAAACATCTTTTGTTTATCTCTCATCTCAGCATTTTGTTCTTCGTTATCTGTTTTACTTTTACTGTAAGCACGATGGACCCAAGTGCACATCTGAGGGGAACTTAGATACTGGAAGTTCTTAAGTTTTAATAAGAATTTTTTTTTGCATTTACAACAAAAATAGATCATGCCTATAAGATAAGAGGTGTTACAAAGAAAAGGAGCAGAAGAGATAAGGACGACAGATGTGTGATAAGAAAGAAAGAGAAAACAACACCAGAGCACCCATCAACCTCCCACTATTGTTTCTTTTCCATTAGCACAATGGACCTGAGTGCATGTGTGTGTGTGTGTGGGGGGGGGGGGCTACCTTTACACTTTTGTGCACCAAATGTTTGCCTTAGTACATGGTGGTGTGTGTCTAGCAGTTGACATGCAGCAGCCGAGGTATATAGATACTAAAAGTAAGGGGGTGCCGTTAGCCTAGTTAGGTGTCACGCTCAGCTATGGAGGAGATGACCCGGGTTTCAATATCCAGTGGAGCAGTGGAGTATATTTTTGAACTTGTTGTTTGGGACGTTTCCGAGCCTCTCCATTCACTTGGTTCAGTCCGATTGGAGAAGGATGTTAAGTTCGGAAGTTCTGCCTCTTAACACTTTGCAGTCACTTGGCGCAATAATGTGCCGCTGAAAATTATCTGTTCCAGTCACCTGAGGCATTTCTGCGTCAGGCCCAAGAAGTCGTTAGCAGTCACTCTCCTGGCTGGGAGACCAGATGGGGTATTTTGTACTGCTGGCGGTGTGACTGCAAAGTGTTAAATAATCTCACAGAGTTGAACAGAGCACAAAACACTTACCAAACATACACTATCATACATAGTTGTTCAGGAACAGTCTGAGGAAATTCTTGCTGCATCTAGTAATACGCTTCCCCACTTGAATCAGGGGAAGTAAAAATCCCTGAGAAAAAAGCCAGTCGTTCACCGAGTACTCCTGGATGAACCCATTGTATCAAAGCAGGAATGTTTAGCTTTAGTTTTAGTTTTAAAATTTTGGTACATGTAACACAAATAGGTCATATAAGTACTGGAGATTAGAAGTGTTACTAGAGAGTAACATACAAAGAAAAGAAGGAGAAGAGATTTAAGGCAAATAAAAGTTTGAAAGAGCAGCAAACCATACCAGAGAACCTGCCAACCACACACACGCAGGGACTTTGAAATAGCCCTGTAGTCAAGCTGCAACTGTAGAAGAAGAATCATCAATTTTTTTTTCAAATCTGAATAAACAGTACATGGATATGATGAAACTCAAGAAATCAAGACACATCAAAGCAGTAAAGTTCTCTGTGAATTTATTCTGCACTTCGTCCAACACTGACCACACAATTGCAGATTCCCTGAGTTTGTCATTAACCAAAACATATTCAGCCATAAGTTATACATTGTTATTAAAGAAAAGGAAGAAATGGTTTAAAATACACACACAATATCTTTTTGGTGCTCAAATTGACTAAAAGTATAGCAAACAGTACTTTACAAACTGATAAATAATTCTTTTAGTCTCAGTGTAAACATTACGGGACAAAAAAAGAAATTTTAAAAACGTATGTAATAAAAAAGCAACCAGGATTCATTTAGGAATTCCCTGTTTCTTATAATGCCACATGTTGTGTATTCAATTTTGAATCACTCTCACATTTATCAATGCAATTTTTTAATATATATCTTTGTATTCTGTTCTTTTTGTTTTTTTACATTCATGTTGAACAACTGAACTGTCACTTCAGTCCCACACACACAACACGAAGAGGCAAAACAAAAGTCACACCGCACAGAATTTTTATATATCAGACATCAAACGTTCAAAAACAATTAAGTCCAACTGTTTCAAATAATGATTACTATCAACATGGTCAAAACAGTAGTTAAAACAAAAGTATAAAACACGTTCAAAACAAACGTACAAAATATGACAAATGTACAAAATATTAGTCGTAACAAATCTACAAGGCACAGTCAGTGCTTCATAACAAAAGGTACTGGTACATATGTGTCACAACGCGGTGGATTCAGGCGCTCATCAATTTTTGGGCATGTGGAGTTATTGGTATCATTCGATAGCTTATCCATTTGCCTTACTTTCACCGAAAAAAATGCCTGTCTATCTTGAATAGAAGTAAAGATATTTGCGATTGAAGGAGGTGGGGTCACCTAGTTTCAATAGTAAAATTAGGAAGAAAATGGCTGCCAAAGTTTAGTAACTTCAATACCTTGAGGGTCCTTGGAAATTAAAAAATCACACATTTTTTAGCCTTGAACCAAAATTTTTCAGAAAAATTCACATGGAAATGGGTTTTTATATGGACATAAAAGGTGCTGAGAGAAAAAAACAAAAATTCGATAAAAATTGCCAAACTGGCAAAAAATGCCTGTTTCTTTAATTTAATTATTTTGACGAGCACCTGATTTCACCATGACACCTCACATATTGTCATGTGCTGTGCCCATAAAGCAGAAAGGATGAAACATAATTAATCTCTTCAGAATCAAGAAAAGGGATGAAGATGATAATGAGGCAGTGCTAAAGTCAACAGTCTTTGTGTATAAATAAGGTATATATAAATAGAGCGTGTGGAATCAGTATATAATAAATCATAGCCTGATGATAATAAAAGTGGCCAAATGCTGATTCATTGGGCATAAATTCTATGAATCATTTATCAACATGGAAAAATAAGAATTTGAACAAAATGAAGCAGATAGACCCTTACATTAGCCACATTCTACACATGGGTGATTGACGGATGCTCTGGTGTGATTTGTTCTTTCTCTCTTTTCAAACATCCATTGTGATTATCTCTCCTTCTTTTCTTTGTATGGTATGTTACTCTCTAGTAATACCTCCAATGGGGGCTCTCGTGGCTAAGAGGTTAAGGTGTTCACCTCGCATTCAAAGGTCCCGGGTTAAAATCCGGGTAGCGACCAAAAAATTTTCTTCTCTAAAATTGTCTCCTTTCACCTCCTTTCCTGCTCTCTAGCAATGTTCTGTCGTCTGCTTTCGTTTCCACTTTCTGCTACGCTTTGGCTCCTTCTTACTGCTGTCTTTCAGCCACACCCCTGACCTTCTGGTAGGAAAGATCTAAACCTAGCCTTCTCGGACAGGGGCGAAAAATCTTGGAGGTCCCGTGTGCAAGTTGCGCACGTTTAAGATCCCTTGGTGATCTAAAATCGATAAGAGTAGGCTTCGGCCGCCACCCAGGCAAAATTCAAAATTTCCTACCAACTGAAAATGTGTAATGTGTCCCGTGCGCTCATATGACCTTATGCAGTTGCGAGCGCCGTAAAAACACTTATTAAAAGAACCAAAAAAAAAACCCACTTCTAATCTTCGGCACTTATATAACTAAAACACTCTTCACAAGTTGAAATGTCTTTCCTCTCTCCACCTGTCACAGTATCAGAAACTCCTAGACACACTAAGGATTAAAAGTTCATTTAGATATGGCCAATTTGACTGAAAAGAAGTACATCAACTTCAGTCTACTTATAATAGTAAGATTTTTATAGCACGTGTGGCACAAATAAATCATATAAATGCAGAAGAATAGAGGTCTAGAGAGTAGCATGCAAAGTAAAAAAGGAGGAGAGATAAGGACAATAGATGTTTGATGGGGAAGAAGGAGCAAACCACACTAGCACATCAACATGTTAATGGTCATTTGGTACAGGGAAAAAAGCAAAATAGACACCAAAAAAACAGGACAAAAAATTTTTTTAAAAGGCAGTTGGCATCGTGCAACCTTGAGCAGTAAAAGTCACTTCCACAAAGAAAAACAATCGATGTCTGTGGTGAGGCTGTTAGGTGCTTCGCCATCACATGCAGGAGACCCCAGTTTGATTCCCAAGTGAGGAAGGTTTTTTTAAAATCGAATATCTCCATCTTTCTTTTGGGATATTATATCCATCTCAGCCCGAGTTGGTCCTGACAAGTAGGATCTAAGCCCTCCTCTTAACTGATCTAAACTGTGTCAATAGGGACGTAAAAACACCTTCATTTTAAAAAAAATATTTTTCAGGGAGAACCAATCAACAGAGCTCAATTTTTCTTCTTTATGTTTTGAGTTAATGGGACACACACAGACAATATAACAGTAACAGTCAGTTAGTGCTGGGAGAATGAAAGACAGTGCACATAAACAGAGGGATAGTGGAGAAGGACATAATGGTGGCACCCTCCAGCCGCAACCTGTTTTGTCTGTTCAGTTTGCAATTTACAAAGACTGATCAATGCAGGCCAGCACAGACATTTTCGACTAATTTTTAAACAACAACAGAATTAAACAAAGGATAAGGTGCGAGCAGGGACATAACAAGAAGTTATTTTTAACCCTATGGACCTGAACACGCCTCTGAGCATCGGTAACTTTGTGACACTTTGTCCTTCTGTGCCCCAAACACATAAAATAACACACACACACATACAAACACACACACACACACACACACATGAGCAAGCACACCCGTATGCACATACTCCCTCACTTATTCTTTTTTCCACATACACATACATATATTCAAATATCGATTTTAACAAACTTTTCAAAAGCTGCTGGGTCAACAAAATTAAAACCAAACTAAACCTCAACCGTCATCAATCGCATTAGACATTTATCCACAACTAAAGCTTTGTGCGTTCCATGCAGAAGATGACTGAACTGAGGGTGAGTTGGTGAAGGACGGGTTACACACACCAGCTCCGAGAGTATTTCACATTCTCAGCACGGGGGAGCCTTCACTGCGGGGCTGCGCGTACGCCTTACAGATGGCCAGACACTGCGACAACACCTGGGAGACACGCCAACAAACAGTCATTGAAAAAACAAAACACAGAAACACACTCTATTGTTATCTATTAGAATAACTAAACTGCATCCACATTTTTACATTTTCAACATCAAACTCTGTTTAGTTTTAGTAGAGGTTTTACGGCGCTCGTAACTGCATAAGGTCATATGAGCGCCAGAAGATAAAAGGTGTTACAAGAGAGTAACAAACATAAAAAAGAAGAAGGGGAGATAAGGACGATAGATGTTCGGTAGGAAAAAAGGAGCAAACCACACCAGAGCACCCGCCAACCACCGAATATCAAACTCTATAGTCATGTATTAACTGGCATCTGTGGTGTGGCGGTTAGGCACTTTGCTGTCGCATGCAGATGACCCAAATTCAAGTTCTGAGTGGGGAAGAATTTTTTATCGAGAATTTCAGCCTTTTTAATGGGGTGTTGTATATCCCTCCCATCCCAGGTTGGTCCTAACAACCACAGTCAGAAGTCCACCTCCTAAAGATTTAAATAGTGTCGAAGGGGGCATAAAAACACATACATTTTTTTAAAACCACAATTTTCTTACCTTTAAGAATAACTAAACTGAAGTGGTATTTTACACCTTTTCAATGTCAGACTCTATTCTTTCCCACAAGGCTAACTATACATAATATTTTTTTCAAATCTGTGAGTAACCTGCCATACAGTTTCCTATTCCACTCATTTATGGAGCTGCCCATTTCTTTCTCAGGTGGAGAACCCTTCTTGACATCCTATACCCAACACCGGGGTAATGAGGCAGATGATAAAGATGATCACTTACCTTTCTAGTCTCATTGGGCATGATGATTCCATCGTTGAGTATCCGAGTGGCTCCATAAATAGCTGACGACTCTTTCACAAACTTTTCTGTCAATTTTTTCAACTTGTCTGGATCCAGCTTTCCACTGCTGTCATTCTGGAGAAGAGGAGAGAGGGATTAGAAAGATAATGTAAATAACTCAAGCTAACAAGAAATTTCGATTAAGGAGAGAGACAAGATAATACTTTATTGTCCCTAAGGGTAATTTTTCATAGCTTTACAGTAATAGTAAAAATACAGGAAATATATATATAAAACTCAAATTGTATATTCTGTTCATAAAAGAATTTCAGTATGAAAAGAAGAATCAAGCAGACAACAATAAAACATGTCATTGCTAATAACAAACATTATTTATAAACGGCTTTGTGACAAAATAGGTTATCTCCAGCATTCAAACTTGAACTTTTCCTCCTTTTGATTGCAAGCAGAATCTTCAATCTTTATAATTTTATACTAAAAAGCCTTTAATAGGAGTCGAAAATTCATAACAACAAAAATGTGATTTATATTGAAAACATTATTCACTAAAAGAACAATTATTTTATTTAAAAATCTATATATATATAACTTTAAAAAATGTTACAGAAGTCTCCGTCTAAACACATGGTGCTCGAGAGGGCTCTTTAGTGTGTGTTGATATGGAGCATGCATTTACATAAATCTTAGCAAAGGGAGGAAGGGACGCAGTCATCTCCCTTGGGGTGGGGGTCACTTTCGCTGATAACGTGACGACAAGTGACTATTTTGTGAAGGATTCCCCGACTGGAGTAAAGAATACAAAGGCGTTGAGGGATGTGGAGCGGGCAGAACAGAAAGACAGACTCAATATAATGATATAATATGCACCATTCAATGTCGGGAACAGATAGCCTAAGAGGAAACTGTTGGTGATAGTCATAGAGACGATGGCCAATGCAGCCACATTGCTTTCCAAGCAACTACCCCCGACCGTAGATTCATGGACATCAGAATAATAGATCTCTACATTGAGAAAAACATTTCTATTGTGACTCATTGAACAAGCACAATATAAGTTCTTCGAGCGTGGCTGATTAGGCTTAGTTGACTAATCTTTAAAGAGGCCTATCTAGCGTTATACAAAATTCATGCATGTTGCGCATCATAGGCCTAGGTCTAACTAAACATTACATGCAGTCACCCAAACACACTAGTCAGAAACCTTCTCTCGAAGATGCATTTCGTGTGACCGATCAAATAACATTTCAGTCCCCCAACCCCTTAACATTTCCCCGATCAGTCCAAGACCTACATGTCTGTGGAAAGTTGGGTGTGAAAACGCTGTCCATCGCTCTCTTTGCTCGGGGTGAGGGGCAGTCTGACCAAATATCTGGTTTCCTAGGCTTGTCTTGTGCAAGCTGTCCAGGTTGCAGTGAAAATTTACCCTTGTCAAGCTACACCTGTCGGCGTGTTTCGCAGATCAGAGAGTGCGTTTAGAAGAAGTGACCGTGCGTTTGTAAGTCTTAATTATTCAGTAAAAAAAAAAAAGTCATATGATGAAAGCGTGCGTTTGAGCGGAGCGTGCTTTTGTTTGGCATGCATTTAGGTGAAGACTACTGTATTCATATTGAACAAATTATCTATTTGAAAAATAATTAACTAAACAATTAAATAATCTATATAACTTAAAACAAATAATACTCTAAATATGTACAGATATATTCCCAGCCACTCACCTGCCTGGCCACCGTCTCCGCTAACCGCGTGGGCTCCATGATAGCCACTCTGGCATTTGGCCACGCAAACAGGAAGTTGGGGTTCACGGCTCTACCTCCCTGCACACGAAGAAAGAAAGAGGGACAGAGAAAGTCAGGCAATTTCACACCACTTGACATGAGAAAATTCTGTTTGCTGGTTTCCGTATAAGATAGAGGTGCCGCCAAGCTAAGAAAAAAACAACTTTTAACTTTTCTGATCCCATGGGACTGCACACTGGGACTCAAAATATACAGATCATATTGTCTAATTCATCTCGTATCAAGGCTATTTTTTTTAATACACACTCAAAATATACAGATCATATTTCGTATCAAGGCTATTTTTTAAAATACAAACTCAAAATATACAGATCATATTATCTAATTAATCTCGTATCAAGACTATCTTTTCTCATACATAATGAAACAACCGGACAATTTCAGAAATATTGCACCATTTCAATATATTGCACCATAACTTTTAAAAAATATAATTTTGCAGATCGTATCGTCTAAATCATCTCCAACTAAATTCTGTGGGATTGCAGGATTTTCTTTGGTTTAATTGCGTTTTCAGTTCAAAAAATTACTCAAATACCAAAGAAAAAAAGGGATTCTATTTTCTTTTGTTTACTGCTATCTTTGAAGTAACAATGTCCAGTTTAAGCGGACTCCTCTGTAATGTACAAGTGTGAAGACTGACCATTAAGAAGTGGGTGGAACCGAACCCATTGCCCAGTATGACGGTCAGCTTGGGTACTTTGGCACAGCTGACAGCTGCCAACATGTTGGCTCTGGCCTTCAACTTCTGGCTCCACAGAACGGCTGAAACACAAATAATGAACCAATACAGTAATCAATTAATTGATTAATATATATATAT